ATTTTCTTGTTATCACCATTTATTTGCATTCCACGTGGCATCTCCGTATTGAAAAAAATGAATTATTTAAAAAAAAGAATGTTGAACGCGTTTTCAATGGATTAATAAAACAATGGAGGAGAACAAAGTACCAAAGAAGACACTAATGATATCATTCAATTGTTCTCACAAATACAATGCCTATCATTATGAATTGTTTAGAATAAAGTGAAGTAAAAACAGATTTTGCTTGGATTTTCTATTACAAAAATGAAAACATACAATGATTTGAACCATGAAAAACGTCCAGATTCAACTTATCATAAGAAGAAATGACAACTTTTTTATAGACTTTATGAATTTTAAGATTTTCAACTTAACCGTTGCCCTTGCAGTAATAACATCATACTCACTTCTTTTCATTCTGAAAAGATCTCACACAGGGAAAGTGCCACAATACATTTCAAATGTAAGTCATTTGACACGTAGCAGTCAATGCCATCTCAATTCCAGCTCATTGAATCATTGTATTTTTCGACAACTTTTTTCAAACGTGTATGGCTTTACTAGAATATAATCAACTTTACGGCGACGCTAACAGCTTCTCTGTTGGCCAGTACTACGCGTTAGCCAAAACGTATTGATGTTTCGCAATGGTTACTCGATGCATTTGCAAAAATACTATGATTTTTGTACTCTCTTCTACGATGTGTGTGTCATCGAGGATTTTGTCCATTTACAAACGGACTTCGAACGAAACAGAATAAGTTGAAAAGTTATATCATGAAATCGACAAATTAGAAAAACATCAGGAGAATTTGGCATTAGAATGTGAATTGATTTTATATTTGAAAGTAAGCCTGAAAAAGTACTTTTCAAGTTCTTAGTCCACAGTTGGAATTCATGTCAATTATTAAGTAAATTGGTTTTCAATCAAACTCTCACTATTATTTTTTGTTTGTACTTTTTTTCCCATCATAGTTGAATCCTATTGTTACAAATAATAGCTTAAACATAGCAACCCATAAAAAAAATTCACATCCAAAAAGTGCTCAAAATGTTCTCTATATTAGTATGGCTCACACCAACTTCACATCAAATTTGTGATCATTTTTGGTGTAAGTCCAATTTTCACACCAAAATTTTTGATGTGACTGGCAATAAATGATGTTTTGCCGTTGCAACTATCATTTATATTGACAACTTGCCTATCATTGTATTGTCAGTCACATCAAAAATTTGCTCGTTTTGTATGAAATTTTTGGTGTGAAAGTCTGACTTACACCAAAAATGAGCATACATTTTTATGGGAATGGAGTCAATGTGGAAAACAAAGGAGAGGGTATTCAAATCGACTGATGATATTCTTGGGAAAAAAAAATGTATATCGACTTTTTGAACTTACATTAAATGTGGTTCGATTTGCGTCATTATGTCGAATCAAATTTCATATCGGAAAAGGAACAATCATTTTCAATTGCAATATAAACAGAAAACAGTAAGAGAAAGTAAATATTGTTCATTCGTTAGATCATTTCGAGAATAAATACGAATTTTAATATATTATGACATGGGTCCGTTGCTCCTTATTGTATTCATGACACGACCACCCCTTTCACAATTGCTGAGTTCGTCACACTGCGTTGGCTCAACGTGATACATTCTGAAATGTTGGTCGTTTGATTTCGAACTGTAATAATAACTCGGTTCCTTTCCATGGTGCTGGCAGAAAAAAAAACTCGAGCTGCCGGAAAAATATAAAATTTTATTGAATTTCAGCAAGTAGCAAAAGAAATGGTAAGAAAGAATTCAAGAGCCAAACGAATGAACGAAACGAAAACAAAAGAATGGAAATGCAAATAGAAGTTGATTTGATTTGCGTTTTTTGCTCGTTTGATGGGCAAAATCACCATGCCAATTCTAGCATGGGAAAAATACACACACACAATAGAAAACTGGCCTGATTCAATTTATGTATACGACGGTTCATCCATTCTGCGGCAGATGATTTTATGTGGTCGGAAACCAGTCGATTCGCCAAATACAGATTCAATCGTCAATCGGCTGCGTTCGTGTTCGCATTGAATAAAACATATAAATGAACCAACGAATGCCATAAAATTCAATCACTTGAGACTGCACACGCTGCTTATGCACACGGAAAAAAGTGGCCACCTTCAGTTTTTCATATTTGCCGTTCGGCGAATGGTGAAAAAAAAAGAAATCAGTCAATTTTCAATTTTATGAAATATTGAGTGCTGGCGCTAAGCATCGTGGCCCCGCTGGAACGAATTGAGAAAAAAATTCAAACAACAATCAATCGACGGCGAAGGTGGGATGAGTCGTTGATCGCATTGTTGCGGAACCACTATCAAATGCAAATACGATTGCCCAATCGAAACTCACATAAAAATATCCTCGTTCGAAATGAATATTTATGAACCTTGTACACACGGTTCTCATGTTCTTCAACTCATGCCAACAACCGCATTTTTTTCTCCCCCTCTCTCTCTCTTCTCTTGAAATTGACGGTCCTTTTTTCATTTGATGCTCTCCGTACACAAATGAATGTTCCCCCGCTGCTCAGAATAAAAGGCGAACGAACCGAGAAAAAAACACTTTTGTTTTTAAATAAATTTGCTCTCGACGAGAATGAAAAAAAAAAGATCAGAAAAAATTCTTTTGTTCAATGGATGTTCTTTCGCTGTGATTCAGTCAATCGGAAACGAGAGTAACTTGAGAAAATACCGCAGATGAAAAACTCCAAATTCAACAACAATAACAAAGAAATTGAATTGTTCAATTTATTCACATGGAATGCACTTTGCGGATTTCTTTTAATGAATCAGCTGGAGACTCTCCACAACGATTGTTGCGGCTTTTATTGTCGTTACCGTGAACAGCACTTAACAAATTACGCTAATTTATAAATTAGATCGATGTTTTGGGTTTGTTCGTTGTGTTTTTTTGTTGCCAGATTTGAATGTTACCATTGAAAGATGCACGACAGCGGCACTTGAAAAAAGTCGATGAATAATGAAACAATGCATTTGAACTGATGGTATGTGAATTCACCGGCTTCGAGATTTTGAGCAATCGAACTGAATTTGATTCCTTTGTAAAAGATGTTGATAAATTTTTGGTTTTATTCGTTTTAGAAATTGATCGATTTTCTATCGAAAAGAATAGAAAACTTCAATTTGTCAAAAATGAAAAAAAAAACTATCCTTTCAAGTTTCATCGTAATTAAAAAACAATTTTGAAATCAATCCAAAAAGAATCTGTTTCCCAAACACCTTCATTTTTTTCGTTTGCTTTATGGTATATTTGAGTTTTTCTCCCGTTAATTCTTTGGGTGTTTGTACACATGAAAACAAGAGTAACAACGTCTTTTGATTGCTTCTCATTAAATATCTTCTGGCTTGAATCTTTGTCCCGTAGCGCCGGTTGTTTGCATTGGCGTTCATTTGATTTGATTAGACAAGCACACGAAAAAAAAAACATAACGAGAACAATCACTAACCCTTTGCTACTGTTTATTTTTGCATTTTTTCGGCTGCTCATCAGATCGTTCCTTCTGCATAACCAAATAGCCAGTAATAGAAGAAGACGTACAATTTTTTTCTACTTTTTCTTTGCCTCGATGTAACAACAGTTTCAAAAATTGTTTTATGTACTTTTCAAGCGAAGGCAGTAAGTCGTTGCATTTTCTGTTAATCGGTGTGTATGTCAAGGGGTTTGTGATAAAAAAAAAGAACTCTGTATGCTCCAGAAACAGCAGATACATTTTTTACCCGTGGCGCCGAATATAAATGGCCTATCAAAGATAACGGGACGTATCTTAACAGGAAGAACCCTTTAATCTTTTCCCTCGAAGGAAAGAAAGGCGCGATTAGAATATTCTGTATTTCGTTTCAGGGATTTGTATTTCCCATTCACGTTCCAAGCGAGCGCTTGATGAACACATTCAATGAAATTGGTGCCTTTCAACTTGAAAAAAAAGAAAAAAAGATTTCTTTTCTAATTTATCTAGTCGTGTCCCATGTTTTTGTATGTTCAATCAGTTTGGTCGGTCATCACCTTCTGCTACCACGTGACAAGCAACCGCTCGAAAATTCCCACCTTTTTTTTCTAGTTTGCTTGTTTAAAATTAAGTCAAACAACAGTCAAAAGAAAAATTGCTGCAATTGACGATCATAATTGTCTCGCTTGTTTTATCCACCCCGAGAAATCGTGACTACAGCTAAACCATTTTCATTGCTATATTCGAGAAGTTCGACATTTTATGTCACTTTTTCCGACTTTTTTATGTACACAATTCGTTTGTTTGAATTTCAAGTCACTTTTTTTTCTTCTGATTATTTTTTTTTCTCTCCTTCCATTTTTCTCTTCGTTTGTCAGAATTGTTCCTGTTGCGGAGGAAATCACAATTTTTTACGGCGGTTGTTTCATTTGGCATGAATTAATTTTATTTGAGGTAATAAACATTTGCATTTAATTAGCGACGAATAGTGAATGAGCAACAAAATCAAATGTGCAATAAAAACCAAAGAGCGAATAGATGACGCGCAAACAGAAGCGCTGGAAAATTTGTGGACGAAAAAAAAAAACGTGGAATTGTCAACAAGGTGGTCATTAGATTCAATCTACGAAAGATACTTTGGAAAAGGAAAAATTTCGAAAGGATTTCAGCAGCTGATAAAAGTGTTTTATGTAGCCAGTTTAGGTATCATAATCAGGTAATCCATGAGAGACAAAGACATTCTTTTCATGTTTATTTTACGGATTTCTTTTTCATTTTAGAAGATTTTTGCTGGATTTGATTTTACTGATTTATGTAATCAAAGGGATTTTCATGCTTAGAACACTTACCTTCTTATATGCAAATCTATTCTTCCGTTAAAAAGACATCTTCCAGTGTGTTTTAACGAAAAAAAAAGACGAATAAGCAATTTAAAAAAAAATGAGTTTGGACAATGTTATCCAAAAAAAAAATTTGAATGATAAAAAAACGCATTGCATTTTATTATTCCGACCAATTTTTATTTGACGATGTTTCATTTGTAAATTTCGTTAAGTAAATTGTTCTTTTGCATTGTTTGTTGAGACAGATGTCCTATTGCAAATACATAGTAGCAATGGTTGTGTAGTGGTAAATGGTGTTGTGTAGGTTTTAAGGGTGTGTTTTCTTTTTTAATTTTTTTTTTTTTTGGTTTTGGTTTCATTTAACTCTAGGAATCGTGATAACAGTTAGTTTATGTATAATGTGTGATTAGTTGTAATTTCTTTCATTTATTACTTATTACCGACACTTGATTTATTCCATGAATTGGCTTTTCCATTGGTATAGTTAGCATAATGCTGTGTATACATAGTGATAAAACTTGATTGAATTGTTCATTTCGTTTAAGCTCCGACATCGAATGTGTGTGTGTGTGTGTATGTTGTGACAATGATCAGAGCCAATTTCAGGTTAAAAGTTATGTTAAGCAAAAAAAAAAAAATGGAAAAGAAAAGAAACGAAAACAAGTTTGGAATCAAAACATAACACAACAACGACTAAAAAGTTTTACTTGAACTAATAAAAACTGTTCTGGGTTTTTTTTCTTCTGTTTTTTTTTAATGTTTTCTTATTTATCACCAAATATTAGTTACATAACGCCAATCGACCACTTAAACATAAACAATGTGTGAAAATTATTTACAAAAATGAATCTAGTTGCTACCTTCTGCCCTTTTGTTTGGATACATGTTTATATATAAAAAGGTTTTTCAAACATTCATCAATTTTAAATAGTAACACTTTATGATGACACTGAATTTTTTTACTCCGCCTTTACGTGTTAATTTCTTGGATTCAGCCAAAACAATGTACTTTTTTCTTGTTTTCTTTTTATAGCCTAACATCTGACAATAGTTTTTTTAATGCGACAATTTTTTTCATATGAAATATTTACGGAAATGTGACTCGTTTGTGAACCGAAACGACAACATTTCCCGTATTCACGTACACAAAATTCGAGAAGAAATCGTTGCTATTTGCATACGGGATTCTCCTGTTTTGATCCGAAAAATCCCAAAAGTGTTTACCATTCACAAAAATTACTACACCATTGTTTGTTTTTAGTTTCAAATTAATTTTACTTATCAGTTAAATACGAATATTGCACATAAAATTCTCTATGACTAGCTTTCATCCAAAATGAGAACTTCAAGCTCTCACCCCATCATCCGATTTCATTCTATATTCGTCGTTCGCAATCTTCAATAAATTGTAGAGAATAATTTGCTTGTCTTGTGTGTGTGTTTTTGGTAAAATATTACGTCAATAGATAATAATTATTATTAGTTGTTTTTTTTTTCTTTAAATATCGAGAATAGCCTGCATTGTGTTCATTATACATAAATCTAAGTTCATTTAATGCATAAAATATAGAGTGAATGTATATTTTTTTTGGATGTGTACGTGGAATACTTCAAAAAACATTTCTTCAAAGTTTAGCATTTTTTTTTTGCTGTTATTTACGTGGTAAAAGTAGAAATATTTCACCTATTTATATTTAGACGCACTGGAATGAAATTTGAAAAAAGAAATTTGACAATTAGTTAAAGTCCGACTGTTTTTATTTGTCAATTGAATTTAAAGTACTTCAGCTCATCAATTTGCACTGCAGGATTCAAGTAAAGATTTTAGAATTCATCCGGCATTTTTTCTATTTTTGTCAATCAAAAAAAAACCTTTTGCAAAATGTGAACCAATTTTATAGATTACTAGCAACTAATGTTGGCACGTTTGAATCTCATTCCAAGGGTTTCGGTGTTTTTGCTCATTTAAATGAGTTTGTTGACTGATTTGCACATTTTGATTAAACTGCCGTATATGCTAATTTATTAAGTGCTTTAGTAGCCGCATCGTCATTAAACTCAGTTGAGTTTTTGTTCGAAATTGTTAAAATAAACATGCAATAGACGCCGAATGCTTGTGCTGAGACACACGGAACAGTATGGAAAGCATAGAAAAAGAAAGTTCAGTTGAACGCCGATAGAGATGCTCTCCGATCGGAGTGAAGAGAGAAAAAAAAATAGTTGGGAAAAATCAATATTTGCAAAAAGTAGTGAATTAAGTTGAAGCCGTTGCCGGCGTGTAATTCCATTTATTACAATGAGTGCCAACTCAATTTCAATGTTATTTGGCCGAGGAGGAGGAGAGCGCGAAAAAAACGAGAGCGAAAGAAAAACAAAAAGTTTGATGTTCAGCAGTCCGGTGAAGTGTGTTCGTTCATGGTAAACTACTAATTTTCATATTTTTCCTCCATAGAATATTTATTTGCGCTATTTCTTCAAGCAGAAAAATGGATCGACGCCGGTGTTTGCAAGCGCCCACTTGTACTTTAAGCAATGCAAATATTTAGATTTGTCAAAAGCCGTTTGTGAACTACGTATTCATAAATGCCGATGAAAAACTCCGAAAAGGTAGCTTAAATTCCGATGGAGAAAGAGACTGCGTGAAAAAAATGGGTGTATTTGCATCGTTGAATTTAAATCGGATTTAAAGTTAGCTTGAACAAATTATGTTAAATCAATTTGGCAGAAATGCTGGTCTCGTTGAATGACAATCGAAATTAAAATAAAATCTAATTGCAATTTCAGTCTAATTGGAGTTTAGAATCAATCGAATGTCCGCATTCAATGCCAGTGACAAAGCGAATGAGACAAGCTTTTTTTTCGCTTAAGAAATGGCAGTCGAAAGATTGATGCAGATGACAACAACAATAAAAAAAAATGTGAGTTTTCTGGGCGTAGCCATATCCATGATTTATGTATGGCACGTCAATTATGTGCCTCTGTGTGCTAGCAGCTTATTTTTCTCGGTCTCTCCTGCTTTGCGATCGTTTGCGTTGTTGGCTGTACATAAACAGCGGCGTTCAGCTGCTATGCACTTTCCAATGATAGCCAACCAAAATGTGTCGTGTACACTGCGCAGAATGCATCCAGCCAGACTGCATAATACACAGACGCAAGCACCAATACCTCGAAATCGAGACACTCGCCAAGAAACGACCAAACGAAAGCGAGAGAGAAAGAGAAAGAGTGAACGAAAAACAAAACAAACAAAAAATCGACGACGAACTTCACCATTTTCGCAAAAAAAGCGTAAAGAAAACCGACGAGGAACAGAGAATAAAGCGCCTGGCACAAGCAACAGCACATAAACGTTTAACACCGATAGAGAAGAATTGCATCGGTGCATGCATCGAACAAGTGAAAAGTTTTCGGTGTGTGCTATGCCGTTCGCAAAGCGATTTATATGAATGTATACAGAATTAATTGCACACAAATACTCGTCGGGCCGATGTAAGGAATGGAAAATGAGACTCTTTTTCGTGCTTGTGCAAACGCTCTGCAGAATATTACATTTGAGCTGCCATTGCAGAGTATTTGGCGAGCTCTTTTCAAACATTGTAAATATTTCGTACCCACACACTTTGAATTGCCATCAACAACAGCAAGTGCTCGGGAAAATTACGGCAGAACCATAAATAAGTTACAAATATGGTATTTATGCACGTTGAGCCATGAACAATACAAGTTTTTCCGTATTTAAATCCACACGGCGGCACAGTATCGTGAGAACGCTCATTACTTGCTACAAGATGTCACGCAAAATCACTATCGCCACATACATAAAAGTTCAAGCGGCAATTCTGCCATTGGCTACTGCGATCATAAATAAAAATGGAATCACTTTAAAGTGAATTGCTGTTCGAAACATTGTGACCAGTTTCAAATTAATCCGATTACACACTTTCATTAAGCCAAAATGAATGAGATGGATTTTAAACAGTTTTTTTCTCTCTCTCTTTTCTCTTCTCTATTCCCCATTGAAGCATATATATTCAATTTTTCACTCTTCAGTTGGTTGCACTTTCGTAATTAATTTTGATAGAGCAGAAAAAAAACCAGTTGCACCTATGAAAAAGGAAACTTTTCAATCGGACACGAAAAAACAACACCACACGTCCAAGCGCAACTAAATCATGAAAATCACAGCTCCACACTGTGTGATGTATCACATGGAAGAACAGAAAAAAAAAATTCAGAATGTTTTTCCAACGATGCTAATTTAATCCATAAAATAAACTTTTTCAATAAAATTATTTCCGCATCCGACCAGTTTCTAGAGCGAGAATTTGATGGAAAATACGGTTAGAATTGTGCACATATAGAAATTAAGCTTCGGATGCAATAAATAGAGTTACGTAAATTGATATCGGAGCTGAAGCACTTTTTTCGCATAGACTTTTTTTCGACGCTCGACTAATTCGATCCAACTAATATGTGTGTGGCTTGAGAGTTTCTCTTCGCCTGGATTCATTTTATATTGGAAATGGAGTAAATGGCGAAATTTTTAGAATTTCCGCATTTTTTTTCGATGGTCACGAATATTAAGGAAAAAGGATTCACTTACCCGTTCGTTATGATTCAATTGAAATTCTATGGCGTTGATGTTGGATTTGAGTCGAAGCATTTGCAATTCGACTTGTGCTTTTTCTCGCTGCAAATCGGTCACATCTGTTGCACTCGATGAAAAGTTTTCGCCATTGGTTGAGCTTCCATTTTTATGATCAACATCCATATCTAAAGTGACCAAGAAGCAAATAATGTTTTAGAACTCAGAATATGAACAATATTAAAGTCTTTTTTACTTCGAATCAATACAGATGAATTGAAGCGATCCCTCAACGGATTCATTTCGTCTATTTACAAAAAAACAATGAAATAAGAAAAAAAAATTAAATGCTCACCTACCTCCGGTTAATCGATTCGCCGATGCCAAGAGTGAACTGCTGCTGTCATCATATTTTGTTCGCTTGATTCCCTGTGCTAAAGGACAACCAGAGAGTGAACGATGTGTCAAGTATGTGCCATTTATGTGCCCAGTTCCATCACAACCTGGTGGAATGGAACACAGATTCATGCCATTTCTAACGACACTCAAACCGAAAATAATAACTCAACATAAAATTAACACTGTGCGCACTTTTCTATTTTGTCGTACATACCTATGGTGGGGCAATTAATGCCGTCAATTTTAATTGCTGAAGTCGATGTACTTGAAGTGTGTGAAGATAGCGACACACTTGATGATGGAACTAACGATGTTAAGGGTAGTGATGACATGTAGCTATGGCTGTTACTTGTCGGAATGCTGTTCGATGCGCTGACATTATTGTTGTTACTGTTGAGACTATTTGGGTTGGTGCTGACGAGCAATGAAGATGTGTTACCACCATTGCCAACTGTCATGTGACGCTGTTTTTCAACTACACTTTCCATTTCCAAAGCACGTAGTTTGTTTCGATTCGCGATCGGGCACCCACTTGCACTGTACACACACACACACACACATAGGCGAGAGAGAAAAACGATCCAATGAATTTATTTACACGCTTCGTTTCAATTATCCCAAGTGGAACAAAAAAAAAAAGATTTTGATAAAAGGACGCAATCATACGAGGAAAAAACAACGGACAACATGACACATACGGTCATTTTTAATATATGTAAAATAAAATGTGGAAAATATCAACGGAACAATGTGTGGTGAACCCTTTTTAGTTGGTCTTTGTTTCGCTTATGACTTCATTACACTGCTTTTTTATTCGCAGATAGAACCAGTTACTGTAAACTCAGTGCATAATATGAAATGTTCACCTCATACGGCGTCTAGACAAAAAAACATGCGAAAAATAAGCGACGTTAGACCGAAATCAGTCATCGGAAGAAGAATGGCTTTTCAACTTAACAGATAAATAGGGATGGCATGAACTTGATTGAAAACACACACGGAAAAAACGGCGTTATCGAAACAAATGTCATCGTTTAACGTCACACATCCGTTTTAATTCACACACATGAACAACAAAAAAAAATCACTTGACGCCCTTTTTTCCCTTAATTTTCAGCTTAACAAATTCTCATTCGCAATTTTTATTGTCTCTTTGTCGACTTTTTTCTATTCGCTGTGGATGGAACCAGCAATTTTTTCGTTGATATTCAAACCATGTCGTTTCAACATATGTTTCACTTCTTGAAAAAGAAAAAAAACTAATTTCCGAGTCGACAAAAAACCAGAAGGATTATTAAAAATATAAAGAGAAAATTGCGCTTCATCCAGAATTATAATAAATATGTGAAAAGCCAGCAAGTGAATCTTTTTGTTTGCTCAACGCTGAAATGAGGTTTCCCCTCAAATTTGCTTTTTTTGGCTCTCGCTTGTTTGACCGTCGGTTTTACGGTACCCACAATGATGGAATGGGTTTGTGCACACATTTTTGAATGAAATATTAAATTTGAATTGACCCTTGACCAAATCCATATTAAGCAAATACTCATCTTATTAAGAAATCGTTATTAAAAATTATACCGCTTGTGCACCGAACGAGAGAAAGGAAAAAAAATGCCGAAATAAACTCAAATAAAAATATTCAGAGTGAAATGAGATCAACAAAACGGGGGGACGATGTACACTTTTTAAACTTGGGATGCACTCACCTTCTGTGTGATAAAAATTTGCCAGTCGAATGACCAGAGCCGTCGCATCCAGGAATCGGGCATCTGGAAAATGTTCACACACACAACAAAAACGACAAACAAAAGAAGAATTCAATGAGTTTGGATTCATACAGCTTGAAAATGGTATTTTTTAAATTTGAAATAAACGAAAATGTGACAAGTGAAAATTGAAATTAAAAAAATGAAAACTGATCGAAAAGATAGAAACAATATTTTCTTCCTAGAAAGAACACAGAAGAAATTTTTTTTATTTTGGAATTCTCACCTCAATGGTTCGGAGTCTTGTCCACTTCTTGGTTTGGTTTTGGGTTTGTTAGCACGAGGGCATCCAGATAGACTTCGATGAGAGGAATAGTTTCCTGTTATGTGGCCAGAACCGTCGCATCCGGGTGTTGGACATTTTAGCTCTTGCGGATGACTACGATCATTTTTGAATAAACTGATTAAAGTCACATACAATAAAATTGGCAGCGCGTTAATCGACACAATAGAAATGAAAAATTGCTTCAAACGGTGCATTTTTTTTTGAATTTTCAATTTTCCAAAATCGAGTGTTTTGATTTGAATTTCGTGGATTTTTCTTCGTTTATTTACCTGTCTTTTGGAATTTTGATGTCTTGCGGCAAGTGCTGTGGCGGCGGCATACCGAATGAGTTGGGATTGTAATCACCAGCGACGGCCAATGGATAGTTTGTGCTTGATGGATTGATGTAGGGATTCGAATAGTGATAAGCATGATTGTATCCGGCATAACCGTTGGGCGGTGGTGGTGGATATTCACTTTGTGCAGCAAACATTGCGTAGCTCGAGTGCGGACTGTTGCCATTGAAGTCTCTATAATCCATAAAATTAATTGAGCTGCCATTACTTTGCACCGTATCACGACTGAAAGATGATGAACCAAACGAGCTGACAAAATCAAGACAAACGGGCCGACTGTTGTTGAAATCAGTTCGCTCAGTCTTTGGCGAGTAGCTCGTTCCATTTGTATACGGTTGCGATTGCTTTGTACTGACGCATTGTCGACTTGTTGCTCCCGCATTCTCATTGCCATTGCTATTAAATGCACATTTTATTTTCGTATGTGGGTCGATAGTGTGCATAAAAATTGACGTAATTTAACATTTGTGTATTTGTTTGAAATTGTCAATTTGTGTTAATTCGGTGCAAATTCGACTTTGAAAATGAATTTTGTGAAACAAAAAAGGTGCACAATACCAAGATATTTATATAGTACACAAGTAGAATGGAATGAGAATTGACTAAAATGAAATGAAATGATTTGATTTGGCATTGAATTTTCAAGCTCAAGTTCAAGTGGAATACACAAAATCGCCACATAAATGCACAATTTCATTTTACCATTTTCCGTGTAAATTGAATTTACGATTCGGGGAGACTGAGTGAATTTGTACACACAGGCATTTAAACCAAGGTTGATTGGCTGCATGCAAATGGGCACATGCGTTTGTTGTTTTGTTTGATTGGTCGACAGTGCATCGGTGCATCTCAAATGACATGTGCAATAATTCGGTTAAATTTTGTTTTGTTTGATGATTGGAAATTGAATTACATTTGCGTCGTTGGATTTGAAATGGAAAGACATGGTCGATCCAATCGGTTGCGCATTGGTCATTTGATATTCGTAATTTGATTGGGTAAACTCAATAAATTGGCTTGTGCATTTATATGGCTAGACAACAATAGAAATTTTCATTGAATTTAATTTTTGTTTGTTTTATGTTACGTTCGGTTCATCATACTTCCAATTGATAGTTTAACAATAATAATAAAAAAAGATCATATGACATTGAGAGGAGAACATTAGAAGGTGCGGTACTTACGTTGTTCGGCCGACACTCAAATCGAGTGTTTGTCCCTGTGGACTGAGCATTTGTGGGCTGGAGTAGTGTGGACTCGACGCTGACTGAGGCGATCGATCGTATCGTTGGCCATCATAGTATGAGCTGCTGGGGAAGCAAGTCGATCCGACGCCACTTCGCAACGATGTTACACTTGACGTGGACAAATCAATGATCGAAGCACCTGGCGATGGAGCATCACCGCGATAGCCGTTCTGATGTAAATTTGCCGACGAATAACCAGCACTAACGCCACTACCATTCGTAGCAGCCGATCCTGAAAGTAAATAATCAAGCGATGCTACACTTTTCATTGTCGCATTGTTATTTCCACTCGATTGCATACCGCCGCAACCAACGGTGCTAGTCGATGTGCTCGTCGTCGAACTGTGCTCATACAATTTCACCGGACGTGCAAAACTGTAGCCCGATTGCAAATCCTCGTGTTCACTTTTATATACTAATGGCAAACTCTGATGCACATTGAGATAGTCTTGTGTGAGTTGTGAATTCAAGTGATGATGATGGTGATGATAGGCGCTGCCATAAGCCGATGTCAAATCGCTGGTGTAGGGATCGACTGCTGAACCGGCCGTAGCCGAGGTGACCGTTGACGAGAGCATGTTTAATTGACGATTTTCACTTATGAGTGGCTTGAATGCCGAACTGCTGCTTGAGTTATTTGCACTTGGACTCGTTGACAAACTATTCAAATTGTTTGAATTGTTGGTGCTGCTATTTGCATTTGGTAGCGGAGACATTTTACCATTTACAAATTAACTTTGTGTCTTGTGTCACCTGTGTTTTGTCAAAATCTTTCACTTGTTTTCGAAAAATTAAAACACTTCACATGCAAATTTAGAAGAAAATTGGGAAAAAAAACCTTCGATAAAAGTGACTTCGTTAGCACCAGTCAACAAGTTCCGAATGTTCGCGAGGTCAATGATTTTTGCCGTGATTCTCTATTGATTTTCGAAAGACGAAACTTTTTACACACAGAATCAGACTGGAACGATGTGTTCGACTTCTTGAAGTGCCATTAAAAAACCACTAAAAACAAACTTTGTTGTTTGTCGCAGTCAAAACATTGGAGTTACACAATTTTCGCTTTCTCTGCTCTCCTTCTTACTTTTAATTAATTACGACTTTGACGGCGAAAAACTGTCTCAAGTTTATTTTTTGATAAACTTTGTCTTTTATGAGTCGGTTTTTTTTTTTGGTTATATAGCTTGTTGAACTCTCACGCGCGCATCGAACAAGTGATAAAATAAAAACAGAGAGACTGGGTTAGCAATCGAAGTGTACAGAACGAAAAAAAATTATTCCAAAATTCTACAGAAAATTTTCGGGTCGATGTGTAAGTGTATTCGTATGCAGAGTTTTATAACAATGTGATGAAAAGTTTTACTAAGTTAATTATCACTTGAGAGAAGTTTAATAACCTTGACATAAATCACACTAAAATAAAAAAAAAACTTTTCCTCAAACTTTCCTTACAAATTCAAACAGCAAGCGAAATTGGTGTTTGGCGTTTTCGGGCACACTGCGTTTAAAATTATTTTACGCTATGATCGTTGTTTTCACTGTTGTGTGATGTGTGCGCCAAAGTTTTCTACTTTTTCCGAAAACTTCTTTGGTCGTCGTAGTCGTAGTCGTCGTCGTTGAAAACTGTATGTATGTGCGCTGTCTCTATCTCTGTGTGTGCGGTGCTGCAGCCGTTTTGTATAATGATGATTATTGTTAGTGGGGCACAGCACAGAACTGTGAGCACAGAAATTAAACTTGTCTGAAACTTTTATTGCGTATGCAGTTGCGAAAGTATACTTTGAAACTGACGACAAAGTTTTTTCGAAACATTATCCGTTGTCTTGTGTTTACGGGAAATACTGCCGAAAATGCGTGGAAACCGTTCGTATCGCCACCACCCTTCGTACACGAATCGCCCGCTTTCTACACACACCGTCACACAGCCCATAAGGAAAAACGTGCATTATGTAAACGACCAAATACATTGGTGCGTTTGGTCGATGGAACTGGCGGTGGTGGGGATATTCGAGCTGAAAAATGCTAAACTCCGAAAGAATACAGGGGAATCGTCACCAACTGGAAAGCACTCGATGCTGCCTATATTCTGAAACATGTCAATTGGCGCATGCGTCACATTGCAGAACCAACATTCCAAAGGATATTTCATTCCATAGATCCCATACACGATATATATACATTATGTGAATATTTCGTATTGAAACACTTCTATTATCGTTATCAGTATTCGAAACGTTGAATTTTTACCCGCCTTTGAGCTGGTGTTTTCCTCATCTTCTGCCTTTGCTTCATCATTCTTAATCAAACGCACACACTTGCAAAACATAAACAAAAGACCCGAAATTAAACGTTTTCGATGTTTTTTTTCTCTCTTCTACGTCGCACTGATTGCCAGCAAAAACGTCGAAATTCTCGGCTACCATGTGAACTGTGCACGTCTCGTTCGTTCTCAGTACCAGCATTTTTACTTAATTTCTGATAAAAATTTACACAAAAGCTTTTTCGGAATTTTTCATCAATCAAAAGTCTGGATTATGCTGAAGACACAAGATTTTCACCAACAACTTCCATGACATACAAAACTGTGAATATAGCAGATTAAGTGCTGGTAAATCCCAAAGATTTTTCACACAACTTTGACATACAGAAAAACTCTTTGAATACTCTGAATATACTGTTTCGTGAAAATCCGAATTTATATATAATTAGTGAAAGTGTAAGGGATATGTTTTGTGACTTTTTTTTTCAACAGAAAATAGCAAGTGCTTGCAAGAGATTTAATTCTTTTCCTTTGAAATATACATATATTTCGTAATTTCGAGTTTAAGAGAGTGCAAATCATTTCAATCAGTCTAAATTCGCAACATTAATGTCACACAACTTTGAAAATAACGTTCAATTAGTGAATCTGAAGTGTTTCTCTATAGTATTAGTAATTTTTAATCGAAATAGCCACTTGAACCAAATTTTTAGTGAAATATCCTCAAAATGATATCTGTCCTCAGGGTAGTACATACCCTATAAATGCAGTTCAAAAAGAATATAAATTTCCAAGCGAAATTCAAATAAAAAAATATATTTGTTCATTTACTAAAATTACGATTGTCGAAAAAATGGCTTGAATGTCTGGCAAAAGTTGAGATTTTGAGAAAACGTACCAATTATCAGTTATGATTAGCCGCTTTTATCCAATTTTCTTGTATTTCCGATTTGAAATTGCTTTTTGAGCATAGATTTTATTCCATTCAAGATTGGTGTGAGAAAAGGTAGACGCATCTGTGGCATTGTTTCAGTTTGCATTAAATTCGTTGCATCAGCATCATATCGAAAATCATAATGCGTGTACTGTTGATACTGTTGATGAAAGACGAGTTTATTTTGAAAAGACGCTACTGAAATTGATTGTGCCTAAAATTATATTGACGAATCGCTAATAACAATGCGTTCGTTAGTATTTTCGCTTATTATGTGAGCGATGCCGAAAAAAGAGCGATTTTGCTGTCGAAGGATAATTTGATTTGTTGCTCATGCATTCAATTTACATACGAATTTCCAAAGCAAATTCAATTTCCATGTCGACCGTCTCGAATCAACTCGTCGTCTCGCACTTTCTCTCTATTGTTCCATCTTGGGGTCCTTATACAAATCATTACATTTACCTAAGTCTAAGTCGTGAGGGTTTTTGGCAAACGTTGAACCGTTTTTACCATTGTTGGAAATTCGGTTCGATGTTTGTGGCGAACGGTTTTCGGTGTAGAACTGCACACACACACACACACACACAAAACTGGCAAATTTTCTACATTCAGCGGTTACACATAATTCACAATTCGAAAGCCAAACTGTCGAAACATGGCATTCAACGAACAATACGTTGTGAAAGTAGTTTTTAATAGTTACAACCATTCATTCGACCTCTCTCATACCCACCCGCCACCGTGTGTATCGTCTGAGCACGAAGCTACACATTGAATTCGGTTGCACGTCGTGAAAATGTCATTTTGCATACCTTGAGATGCGTCGTAGTGACCGAAAAGGTTGAATGCAGGCAAGCGTTCAAGAAAATGTTCATGCGTTTAAATTGCTTTGTCCGTACATTCGTCGCCTTGGTTATCGTCAGCAGTATTTTTCACCGTTTGGTATAAATGCATGTATACAGTGTTCAATGCTGATCGTCAAATCGATGTTGAATTTATTTTGTCGGAATAGTTTCTATTCGATGTGGTGACGTTACGTGTGGAGTTGGTTGTTTCCTATTTTTTGTTTTGTTGAATTCGATTTGCACCGCATCGGCCGAGTAAAGCACTTTCAACAAATAACAATCTCAGGTCGTTGCTAAAGCTAAATGGCCATGGTGTGTTTGGAGTGAATGCAGTGCTTATTTTGTATTTTGAATGTGTTTAGTGGTGATGTTTTGGCTGTCTCTCCAGAGACCTGTTCACCTTTCTCTCGAATGGCATCGTCTCCCGACGACACAGACGACAATGACGACGACACAGAAGAAAAGGAATTGGCGCTCTGCGGTTTCACAAGATGAATGCAGGTAGAGAGTAGTGTCGAACACAAGTCAGTCGGAACCGATGAACATTTCTCGATTCTTTCAAAACACACATAGCTAGATGCAGATTAGAAATGTCTCCGAAAATAGTTTAAATGGTTACCGGGAACATCTCATCCATATTTGATGTTGGCAGTGTTGTTCGGCACAATTTGAATTTCGATTTGAATATTGTCAACATAAATTGATATTTCGGCTTTTTTGGAATTCAATTAGAGTGGCGAACAAATGAGGAAAACCACACTGTACAATGCAATTCGAAATCGATTTTTAAAGTTAAAATCACGGGAATTGCACCGTCAAAATGTGATTGATGGCACTTTCCATCATCAAAATTTTCTCCAGTTTACTGAATATTGCTTAGTAACGTCGGTCTCATCAAAGTGTGCTTATTCCCGATTTTTAATGGGTTTTTCATTCGCATCGCCGACATTTTTTGATCGACCTCAATTCTATTCCAAATTATTTACCGCCACCAACATTCTTTATCGCTTCTAATTTTATCATTAAATTTCAAAATGTACGCACTTACCGAACGAAATGCTGATGGCAATTTTAAAATCAGCCACGAACCAAAGATAAAAACCCCACACACCATTTAAACATCTTTTCAACTCATTCTCTCTCTCTCTCTCTCTCTCTCTCTCTGCACAGAGCCCTGTGCCGTGTCATTTTTGATGTTGTGCTCATACGTTTTTTGCATTCAGAAGTCAAGTCAAAATCGAATTCCTTTGTGTCGCGCGCGCGTTGTTTACATGTGCCACAGCAGTAGCTAATTCACTACTTTTACCCCTTTTTTGGTTTGTCAATTTACTTGTGCATTGTGTGACTGTATCTCGCTCTGTTTGAACGTTAAAAAGCGGGCTGGTTGCATGAGCAAGAGCTCATTAGACGTAAAATATCAAGTGAATTCTTGTGTTGTTGTTTTTGTTATTTGCTTTTTTGTCACTCTCTCTCTCTTTCTCTCTTTCGCTCTTATAAAATATGAAACGATAATGGCTAATGTGAGTAATGAGTCTTTAATATCATATCTAATGTACATTCATCTTGTCGCGCTCTTGATGCGGGCTCGACTGTGTATTTGCCATCTTCGTAGCTGTGTTGGTGGTTGCCATTTCCTTTGGCAATGAAATCCAACATGGAAAAAAACGGTAAATCTAAAATAGATGAATCGCAAGCAAGTGATGTGTCGCTTTGACATCACTCCGTATGTTGTGCGAATAGAAGGGAACGGATTGAGACGCCCAAATATGATATCTAATAATAATCATAATTAATATCTAATTTAAGTACTCGGTTTGCATTTGCTGGTTTTTTAGATAAAAGCAAAATGAGACGACTCATTTGCGACAACAGCAACAGCCGTAGCAGCGATGGCATCGTTTAATTCTAATGGGAATTGACAAAATCGCTTTCCATAGTTTGTATGTTTTTCATTTTTGTACGGGAGTTACAGAGACAGAGACTCTGGCAAGTTTTCGATCAAAGACACGTGATTATCATAATGAATAAATAAATGGAATGAGGTTTTTAGGTTGAAATTCTCTCATAACTCACATATAAACCAGAAGACGCTTTTCAAAAAAAGAACCAACACGAGGATGAATTCGCATTGCCATCATTTGATGATTTGAATAGCCTTGGTTACATTCGACCTCATTAAAGATTTCAAGAAGGTTACTTCTTCTGTAATCATATCACTTTTGGAAAAGAAAAAAGAAAAAAAATTGAAAATAAAGATAAAAAAAAATCTTAACCCATCTCTTCAACCAGAATCATGATTGAACGAGGACGTATATCGTATTTAGCCGCAAATGAAATTTATGAACATGTCTCAATGGATCTATTAAGAGACTCTTTTTTCCAGCGTTGAAACGTAAATGAAGCACATTAGTTCGCATGTTAGTGGTGATTGTATTTATGACATGAGTCGCCTACGAAACAATGTCCGGTGGCTACTACCACCACTGAAGACATATCGGTTGTGCAGCCAGTTTTCAATACCAATTCCGAAGCGAAACGCAAATAAATACAATAATAATCGTAAAGTTTAATAATGTTTCGGAATCGGATTCGAAATAGCTTGTTGCAGAGCTTGGTTGGGTAAGTAACGATGCTATTAGAGGGTAAAATCGATAATAACATTGTTTTGGATAAACTCCAAATGCGACGAGCGTCAGTGACAACAATCGTAAACAAGACAAAACCGTATCGCAGCATGGCAAAGCGGAGAAGAGCGAAAAAAGAGCCAAAATGTAATTGAAGAAAAGAGTGGAACTATTATCAGATCGACTAAATAGATTCGCTTGCATTGCAGCCACTGCTGTCTAATACAATG